GTTTTTATCCAGCAGCTCTGGCAAGAACAAGAAGCGGCTGAGACTCAGGTATGAATGAAACACTATACTTTGACAAATGCAATACAAATACTCAAACAAGCTCAAATGAATTTTTTATAGATAGTAGATGGAGTGAAGTTAAAATGGAATGCGTCAACACAAGAATGGCAAAGGGCCGATCAAGAAGTCGATGAAGATTTCATTGCCAGTTATCAAGCAAATTACGGAGTTCCATATGATTATAGTAAGACAATAATATATTGTGGTCATCATTGATTTCCTATTATTTATTGATTACAGTAACTTTCTTAAATGTTACAACTCCGTATATTTCAATGAAGAAAACAGATAGCGGTTGAGGCGACAAGTTAAATTTTCTACACTGAAATTTCTTTGTTGAACATCAAATAGATGCTTTCTTCAAAACTCCCAACATAATTAAAGGTAAAATGGACGAGGAAATAAAAGCAAAAGAAGCAGGCAGATTGAAGAACAAGCCGTCAGAAAAGGATGAGAAGAAAAAAGGAAAAGGAGCTACTGAGCAACAAGGTGATGCTGGCTATTTCAAATCATTAAGCATCAAATCTTTTTCCAAACTTTATGTTCTAAAAACTTTATCGAGCCGCTACAGCTCCTGTTTAACAATTGTTACCATTTCTCTTCTATCAAACCATTCACTGTGATCATTGTAGGTTGGGTAGACATGGAAGAGAAGGTCCATGCCGTCTATGTTAACAACCTGCCTTTGGATATAACGATGGAAGAGTTTAAGGTAGCGAGCCTGGTCGTTCAGCCGTGGCGCTGCGTAACTTTTTGTTCAGGAATTTATGTCGAAGTGCGGTGTTATCCAGCCAGATGCGCGGACGAACAAACCAAAGTTGAAACTCTATGTTGACGAAAATGGGGATTTAAAGGGTGATGGAAGATGCGTTTACATAAAGAAGGTCAGCCAGCTCTCACTTTGACTCGAATTTAATTGTTTCCAGAACATTATTGCGTTTAAGGAGTCAGTTGACTTGGCTTTATCCATCTTAGATGGGTTTAATCTGCGAGGTAAGGAAGTTCATGTGGAGAAAGCCAGATTCCAGCAAAAGGGTGATTTTGATCCCACTAAGAAAAGGAAGAAGCTCACGAATGCACAAAAGAAGAGGTACATGGAAAATCAGAACAGGCAAGTAATGGCGTTATTTCTAAAGATTTTTTTTCATCTAAACATTTTTTTCGGATCTTAAATAATTACTCTCCTAGTATAGCTTTGACACCAAAATATGCCCTGTCCTTTGTAAATTTGTCAATCCGATCTTGGAAACCCCCATCCTATAACTCTTAGGTGCCTCCATACTTTATAAAGAGGCCAATCACTATCATGCTTAGAGCAATAACAGATTGGATGTGGCGCCGCAGTTAAATACCTTGGCTGTAATTCGGCCCTGTCTTAATAACTTTTCTTTCTTTTGTTTGTGCTAAAGTTTGCAGAAGCCGCAGAGGTGTGTAGAAAATGCACTGAGGAAATGGTTTTCGAGTTTTGGCTAAGCATATTTGACTGCGGCGTCGCATCTTACCCTCTATCGAACGATCTGTGTCGGCCGATCCTTACGAATATGGATTTCCATTATTTGCATGTTGGATCTTTACATAAGAAAACATTTTGTTTTTAATGAATGTACAGTATACAATGATCTGGAAACCTATATCTTCTTCCTTTTCAAGAGTATCATGTTGTGTTTTGTTTTTGATTAGCTTCAATTTACATTTGTTTTTCTTTGCAGAATTTTTGAGTGGAAACCTGAAAAACCACGCAACTACCGCCCCATCTCAGATTGTACTGTTGTGATCAAGAATTTGTTCACATTAGAAATGATGGAGGTAAGCTTCTATTCCGTTCTGCCTTGAGAAATGATTACTGCTCGTAATTCTGTTCTAGAAGAATGCTGCTCTAATGATGGATCTAAAAGAGGAGGTTCAAGAAAGTTGTTCTAAGTATGGCACAGTCAAAAAAGTCATCGTTTATGATGTAAGCTTTATTTTGAATTTTTGTAAAGTCAAAATTTCTGATCAAGATTTGAACAACGCACCTAATCACTCTTTGCGTCATTATTTTGGAAAATCCTTTCTTTAAAAGAACTGTTCGCTACTTTAAAACTTTTCTGCCGTTGTAAGTCGTCGACATCGAAACCTTTCAAAGTTTTAATCCGCGAGAACGCAGCTCAAAACAATTTTCATCGAACTATTGGAATTTTGCATTAGTCACTAAGAGTTTATGTGTTAGAAAAATTTCTAAGAGTAACTTTATTATAATGCGTGAAGGATTCCCAAGGACTGCCTCTAAGCCTTTGTTTGACGCGCGAAACATGCCTTCAGCCCGAGTCACTGTTCAATTTTTTTTTCGGAGTCCAAGTCAAATTGTTGTTAAAATCTACGTAACCAGATTTATACTTTGAAATGACATTTCAAAAGAAAGTTGTTTTTTTATAGGGTAATACAAATGGGCATATTGTGGAATTTGCATAAGTATTTTTCTTTTCAAAATTAGGTGGAGAAGAACTTTTATGAAAACTCTAAGAAGAAGTCGAAACTCTCTTCATACACTCAAAACTAAGCATTGCTTGAGATTTTTGCTGCGGTGTCAGCCAAAACTCGGAAAATCGCGCCATACGACCGCTTTTCCCTCTTTATGCCTCTCTCGAAGAAAAATTTGTTATAGCTGTTAGATTTTGGGCTCATACCGTGCGTATGAACCTCAGTCAAAAAAATGTCTGGGGCAATTCTCTCGCTTACCACGGCGAACTATTTTTTGGCTTGCTTAGATACTCAGCCATCATTATCAGAGAACACAGAACTTAATTTTGCCCGGATACTGCATTTAATTATTGTAGCTTACTCTCTTTTTTCCAGAGTAACCCTGAAGGTGTTGTTACGGTAACGTTTGAAACAACAGATGAGTCGGATATGGCAGTAAAGATGCTCAATAGCAGAATTGTAGACGGACGACGGTTGGTTTTTATATAAAGTGGTGTTTAGTTATTTAATAAATCTTCATGTTTGATTTTAATACATATGTTCACTTTCCTATATCACAGAGAGGTCACAAGATTTGTATGGTGTTTAGGTTGGAAGTTTCCCTCTGGGATGGAAAAACAAAATATAAAGTGCAAGAAACAGAAGAAGAGCGTCAGCGACGACTAGCTGCATGGGAGAACTATATCAAAGGAGATAGTGATGATGAAGAGAAGAAAACGACCGGGAGGGAAAAGGAAGTTTCTTTAGCTAGTATGTCTTTGGAGAAGTCTGGCGATATGTCTGAAGAAGGACCATCACCGGGGAAAAAGCCAAAACCAGACAGCGAAGATGGACTTTAATTTTTTTT